TATATATATATATATATATATATATATATATATATATATATATATATATATATATAATAGAATGTGTGTTCCCTGTTAATTCCTAAACCCTTTGATCGATCTAAATCAGATTTTGCATGGTTACTCTCTAGGATCCTGCGGGAAATATAGGCTGTCGTGAAACCTAGACATCTCATTCTCTTCCCCTGATTTCATCCCTTGACACTTTACGATAACCCCGGGTAACGTCGGGTTCAAGCTAGTGATACATAATTCTCAAGAAATAACTGCCAACTCCTTAATATCTAAAAGCCTTAGTTCCATTATCGGTTCAGATATGATGGGTATCTGTTCATGTTGTACATCTCACTCGAGGATCTAGGATTGAACTATGGTAGAGTAAATAAAGTTTAAGAATTTAAGTGTTTAAAGGTAATAAAAAAGAACAGGTTTCGAAAGAAGAATCCTAGCAGAGTTGCGGTACGTAACAATATGCGCGCGCGAGTTGGTGCCTCCGTCGCGACCTTATGAAATATGCACTTTCAGAGTGCAGACTTTACGAGTGCGACGTCGTGTATGTCGCGCGCGCTCTCCGAAATTTTCCTCCCGCGACTCTTCTTTTCCTTGCTCTTTTTTTACGACATTTCGAGCGACGCAGAGAATCGTCCAGTAGAGGGAGACCTGCTGTCACGGATTTAGTAGGTGCGAGTCGCGCCCCTGTCTCGTATCTAACGGTCGTGGGTCGGAGTTCGCGGAGGATTTACGCGTTGGCCGGGTTCTCCTCCGCTCGCGCGCACGCTGAAAACCACAAGCATCCGATACTCGATGAAGCTCTTGCGAAAGAGAACGTAGGAGGACAGGGCGGGAGCGAGCGCTCGGGTAGAGGTTGCGTGCGAGGACGTGGCCGGGCAAAAATTGCGGGTTAACGTTGGAAAACTGCGGGGCGCGGTCCGCTGCATTTTCCAGGATTAATGCCCCGGCCTTAATTGCCACGTGCGCGGCACCTCGCACCTCCTCCCGACCGTCACGTCTGTCTGTATTTTTGCCTTTATTCGTCACGGTCATACGGAAGATTTAGCGTGCGTCGAGCCCATTGAGGGGAAGTAACAACGCGGCGGAAAATCGCAGATATCGACGAGCAAGAAGCGGAGCGCGCCTTGTGTCCTTGTCCTTTCGTCTCTCCTGCCGCGAAGCATCGCGCTGATAATGGGGTAAAGCGCGTGAGGTTGTGTGGGTTCGGGGATCCTTCGGTGTCTCGATCCGTTACTGCCTGATGTGGTCCAAGGAAGGGCATATCCCTCCGTCTTCGTTCTCGGCCACCCCTTTTCCTTTTCCACCTCCGTCTAGTCTCTTTGCCTAAATCCTCAGCCGGATCCGCGTGTATCGAGTGGGTTGGGGTGGCCGCGAACGAAGGGCTTTGATAAATGACTGACGCGGAAAAAAATCCGCGTCGATACGTCTTGCTCAAGGAGATGTGCGCGGGAGGGAAAAAGAGACGAAAGGATGGAGGCAGGTAGAGAGAGCGAGGAAAGGAGAGACAGAGAGAGAGAGAGAGAGAGAAACAGAAAAGGACGTGAGCGGATGAAAAAGTCGTCTGTTCCCTTGCGGTCTATCCGAGATGTGTATCCTGTCTTGCGATCTGCATTCCCTTCGCGCGCTCGTTTATTAAAACCAGTCGAACAACGCGCGCTTCGCAAATTGATCCCGTATAAATGTTGGCGCGAGTATCGGGAGGATTTTACGCTCCCGAAAATTCATTAATCTCCCGTCGCGCTCGCGGTGTCGAGTTTAATCGCAGCAATTTAAGTTTCTCCGCGTACCGTGAATACAAACGACGCACATATTTCCATCGGGGTGCGAAAGAGGCGCGGTTTTATTTTTTCCCTCCGCTCCCCTTTCTCTCCTTTCTTTTTGCGAAACAGATCTGACGTGTTACCGATTACCTCGTGATCACACTCGTGTCTCATCTCGACGCACAAATTCCGACACGAAATTTCGTCTCAAAAATTTCACTTTCGCGATCAATCGAATCGCCGTCCCGTGCGGATCGTCGTTTCTTTCAAACGAACGGCGAGATGTTTTGCGACTTAGGAGAACTTCGGGGCACCTTGTGTGTGGGTGGGTCGAGGCCGACGCTGATAACGGCGGATGATGGTCCTTTCGCGGATGCGTGCTTTATCGGAAAACACTGAGTGAGATATATGGAGAGATTATGCGAGATGGCGTTTCGGAGTCGAACAGGCCGCTATTCTCCGCTCCGTCAATTATGCTAATTTCGATTGCCGCGAGATTAATGGAAGAAGGCGGCGCGTCTCTGCTCCGCACTCTGCTCTCTCTGTCTCTGTCTCTTTCTCTCTCTTTCTCGTGCGCGCGCGAGCAGTCTCGATGGGAGCGTGACGTACCTTCCGCACTCGGTCGACCGTGCATAATGCACTCGACTTGCAATTATTGCAGATCCATCCTCGGTCAGTTTCGATCTCATAGTCGACGCTCTTGTCCTCGACGAAGACAGTCGAACAAGATTGTGCTTTAATTCTACGCTCAAAACTTCGACGCGCGAATGCAACGATTTTAAGTACGGTAGAGTTTTCTTTTGTCGTGATCGCTTGATTCTCAAGTTCGTCGCGTCAAATTAAAGTTTGCAGAGAACACGATGGATTGAGAGAAAAGATACCAAGAAATTAGTAAACCAAATTAAACCAAGATTTGCATAGTTACTCTGTAGATCCTGCTAAATATATAGGCTGCCATGAAACCTGTATACCCCCTCCCCTTGATAGCATCCCCTTGACACTTTGTGATAATTTAAGTTTAGATGAAGAAGTCCGGGCAACACGCCGGATAGTTTAAGCGAGTATAGAATACGTTTGATAAATCAGAAAATATATATTTTCTTAAAACCTTAAGAGAGAACTTTTTAGCTTTTCACAAAAGCAAATATTTATTATATTTAAATTTATTATATTTAAAGAAAAAAATTCAGATTTAAGTAATTTTATCCCGTTAGTGTAACCACGAAATAAATATTTATTAATTTTTGGATATTTTTTCTCTCAGTGTAACAATAGCAATTTGCAAACAATAATTCCACGCGTCACCGAGCTTCCCCGAGTAAGATGGGGGTCCGGAAAGATTTTTCCAAGCACGCACGCGTATGCATGTACTCGCGAAAGATATCGTGTGACGGTGACAACGGCTGGGATTCTCGGCGGAATGTATTGGAAACTGGAAGACTCACGTGGGTGTTTTCAGGGGTTGGGAGGGCAAAGGCGACGTGCGCAGATACTCGGAAGAGCAAAATAGGAAAAATAATGAGTTGAGGAGGTGAAGAAAGAAGAGAAGGGAAGAGAAGAGGTAAAGACATGCCGGCAGATAAATCTATTGTTATTATCATTATTATTAAATAATAGTAATAATAATACATGTCATCTGCCTCTCTCTACCTCTTTCCCCCTTTCGCAGTCTTCCGTAATCTCTAAATTTGTAGCTTTATAACTGACTTTGACGCAAGCAACCTGTCTTTTACTCCGCTCCCCAGTTATTTTCTTTATGTATCTTTCCCCTCCCTCTCTGCATCTATTTCTGCTGGCCTCTCATGATAATCAATTTGTTCATGTGTCTTTAAGAATGATATCGATTTTATAGGAAATACGTACTGTCATTTCGATAGATAAGATTTTAGCTAAACTCTCAGGTAGGCGCGATTTCATCCGGACTTTATCAGAGTTTTATGTCGGATTGCGCTTGGTAACATTCCGGAGACGCAAGATACTTTGCACACGCATGACGAAACGAGATGGATTAATCTCCTAGCCTCCTATCTTTGGCGAAACTCGCGAAGCCAATCCCGTCGTTTCTTCTCGCTCTCTATCCTCCTCTTCCGTACTCTTTCCATTTTTATTAAAATGCCGACATGAGAAAGAGAAAGAGAAAGAGGCGGAGAACCGCCTTCCCCTTTCCCTGCGCGCGTTCGCGGAAAATATGAAAATCCATACAGTCGCGCGGAGAAAATATCCGTCATTTAAAATGGATGGATTTAGGTGGATATAAAAGTGGAGGGGTGGAAGAAACCGGTGGCAGCGCGCGCGAGGGTGGCACCTACTTCGGTCCGGGGGGTGGCTCGAGGGTGAATGCGGGGGTGAGGGCGGGGGCAACTGCTGAAAGTCGACGGTGGTGGCGGCGGCGGCGGCGGCGGCGGAGGTGGAGGTGGAGGTGGCGGCGGCGGCGGTTGCCGGTGGTGTTGGAGATTTAAGGGAGACATTTTAAATGGATGGTTCCCTCGGAGAACCCGGGGCCTCCGGTATTATCCAATAGCGTAGCTCGTCTCTCGTACCCCCGCGTTTCTCCGCAAGAATTCGCGAGAAGGCGAAAGAAAGAGCGCGAGGAATAAAAAGAACGCACCCCCCGCTATATGCTTTTTCGCGTAGGACGCTGTAGGGCGGTATTTAACCCTTGGGGCTAACCCTTGCATATAAGGTGCCTGTAAACGCCGTGCGCTCCATGTAATTATGCAACATGAAATACTCGATGATAGGAGCGGCTTGCTTTTATTGTGAAATCATATTAAAAAGAAATGTTTTGCCAGGTAGAATGTCACAGTAAAAATTTATTGCTTTTTATATTTGTCTGAAAAAAATGTTTGGTATTTGTAGCTATATCACGGAGAGAAATAATTACTATAAATTATCTTGAAAAAAATTATAGCTACTATTTTTTTATTAAATTCTATTATAAATTAGTGGAATGAGAGAGAGAGAGAGAGAGAGAGAGAGAGAGAGAGAGAGAGAGAGAGAG